TCTTAATTTTTGTATATAGTGACGGATAAATCCAGTTTCATTGTTTTGCATGTGGCTATGCAGTTTTCCCAGCACCCTTTATTGAGTAGGGTGTCCTTTCTCTGATGTATGTTTTTGTCAACTTTGTTAAATATCAGTTGGCTATAGGTATGTGGTTTTATTTCTGGTGTAGCAGGAAGAGCCACAGACAAAACCCCTCAGACACCGAGTTAAAGAAGGAAGTGGTTTCTTCAGCCGGGAGCATTGGCAAGACTCCTGTGTCAAGAGCCGAGCTCCCCGAGTGAGCAATTCCTGTCCCTTTTAAGGGCTTGCAACTCTAAGGGGGTCCATGTGAAAGGGTTGTGATTGATTGAGCAAGCAGGGGGTATGTGACTGGGGGCTGCATACACCAGTAATTAGAAAGGAAATGAACAGGACAGAGATCTTCACAGTGCCTTTTTAATGCAAATAACCGGTTAGGTCAGGGGTAGATCTTTAACTTCCAGGCCTAGGGTATGGTGCCGGGCTGTCTGCTTGTGGATTTCATTTCTGCCTTTTAGTTTTTACTTCTTCTTTCTTTGGAGGCAGAAATTGGGCATAAGACAATATGAGGGGTGGTCTCCTCCCTTACTGGGTCCTCTATTCTGTCTGTTGATCTATATGTCTATGTTTATACCAGTACCATGCTGTTTGATTACTATAGACTTGTAGTATAATTTGGAGTTAGGTAATGTGATGCCTGCTTTCACTAACTGGGTTCTTTTCAGTTCCATATGAAGTTTAGGATTTTTTTTCTAATTCTGTGAAAAATGTCATTGTTATTTTGATAGGAATTATATTGAGTCTGTAGATTGCTTTGGGCAATATGGTCATTTTAACAATATTGATTCTTCTAATCTATGAGAATGGAATGTTTTTCCATTTACTTGTGTCCTCTTAACTCTCATCAGTATCTTGTAGTTTTCCTTATAGGCATCTATTACTCCTTGGTTAAATGTATTCCCAGAGTTGTTTTCTTTTTCTTTTCTTTTTTTTTTTTTTTTTTTGACTATTAGAAATGGGATTGACTTTTGGTTTGGTTCTTAGCGTGATTATTATTGCTGTATAGAAATGCTACTGATTTTTCTATTGATACATATTTGGAAATTATTTTAGAGAAAGATGTGGCTCTTCTTGCATTCCTAAAAGATTCTAATGTTCAGATGGGAAATGAGTGCATAGCCAAGTCAGCAAATATGTACTGGTGGCTGTTTTCTGGAGGCTTTTGTTATATGAGTGATAAATATACTGGAAGGTACTGCCAAGAAGCTGCTTCTCCAAGACCTTTGTACAGAGACTAATGTCACGATGAGCATGTAGTTCTGAGATCTAGACCTGCATTGCTTTGTATATTTAGTAGTGGATTGCATTAGTACAGCTTTGCTGGTGTGGGCTCTACTTTACTTCTAGATCCAGTGGATTTTCATCAAGTTAAGCATTTTACCTTCTCTAGCATTCCATTCTTTACCTAATTTACTTATGTAGCAAACCTGTCGAGCATCAAAGTATCAGTTGTGGATTCTTTGGCAGAAGTAAAACCAGTTTATGTTTCAGTAAAACTAACACTGAAAGCTCTTTCTATTCCTATCCTTTGAGAGTTTGATCTACAATTTCCTTGTTATTGCTCCTTCATAAAACACTGAGTAGAAAGGAGGCTTCTTAGGACAGAGGGGACTTGTTCCTTTTTTATTTTTTAACAAAAAAGAACCTCTGAGAATCCTGTCCCCTACGATGTGGTCAGGAGGTGCTGTGGTGTGCGCATATCCATAAACTTGTGTATCTCCATACCTAACAGCGCTGCTGGGCTCAAGGGAAAAGAATACTGTTTGCAGAATGAATCCATTGTCACGTAGACAACCTCAAGCAGGGAAGGAAGCTTATTCTTCCATAAGGCTTAGCAAAGTCTTCTCATATGAGAGCTAGCAAAGAATTTGAAGATCCAAAATATCAGGGTCCATTTTGAAAGCTGGGGCAATAGTGGAGGGGGTGTCGAAAGTCCTAGTGTATAAAAGGTGGGTTACCTGAGGTACAGTCCAAAGTCCATGAGTAAACAGAGGCTAGGGGCAAAGGAAAGAAGACACCTGAGGGAGCCCCTGTTTTCCTTATTTGGTTCAGGCCAGAGAGTGGGTATTTGTCTACCCTTACTACCCTCCCCACAACACTCCCCCACCTCTCACCAAAAAAGAAAAAAAAGGAAGAATAGAAACTTTTGAACTCATGTGGGGATTTCACAATCATGTCTTCTTTTCTTGGTAATGTTCTGCTTTGACATAATAACAAATCTGTTTGTGTTTGCAAAGGATTAGCTATGGACCCTGCTTCTGGAGCAAAACTCAGACAAGGATTTAGTAAATCTTCTAAAAAAGATTAACTCCTAGAAGCCAGGTAAGAAAAAAAAAATCACCTCTAATCCAGGTGTTCCTGGTCAGTTAATGACTTTTAAGAGAACGGATGCATAGTAGGCAAACTGAAGAGACGTTTGGACAAACTCCAGATTGAGTTAACAAAATGTATGCTCTTGAAACTGACTCTTCTGTTAAACATACAGTTCAAAGAGGATATTCAGTTTTTGATTTATGACTTAATAGGAAAGGGGAATGATCCTTCACTTTTGACCGGAAAGGTTATTGCCTTGTCCCTTTTTCTAAGTACCTTACCTTCAAAAAGAGTAGTTCCCTGAGAGTGTGAATTGTTTGTAAAACAAAAGTCTAAAGAGACCTATGTTATTTAGCATTCTCAATGTGGAAACAATGACGTTCTAAAGTAAATGCCTCTTCTTTCTGCTTTCAGGCTGGCTCCCTGAAACCCATCAGCCTGGATGGCTGCATACCCCAGAATGCCACCTAAGGGGAGGGAACGGTAGATGTGACATCGGTTTATATACCCTTGATTCTTCTTGAAGCATCACTTAGAACAAGTAAAACTAGCTTCAAATTTTTATTTACTCCCTTTGAATTTTTCAAAACAAAAGCATGAAACACATCAACCTGTATAATACATGATTCAAATTCACTTGATGTTTTTTAATTGGACATTTGATGGGTTTTTAAGACAATGTTGTTTTGATATTAGAACCTTTTTAGTAGACTAGTAATTGGAGTACTAACATTATTTACTTACTAGGAAAATCTTTCTTTAACTAGCTTCATTTTATGTACTAGCTGTGAAGTCTCAGTTTTGATATTGGCATCTAGTAAGTATTAAATTATAGCTATTATACTTATTTTAAATGTCTATGTATATACTGTGTAGAAGTGTCTTACATATACTGGTCACACAGACCATATTTGGGGGGAAACACTGAAGTGGAGGAGAAAAAGATTACCAAAATCTTCCATATTGTGGGAAGAATGTTCTCAGTGGCCTCAAGGCATTTATTTATCATGGCCAAATCAGAAGCTATCTATTCATTTCGTTAGCATTGATTTATACAGAGCTCTGTTGGGAGGTGACCCTCTCTTCTCTTTGCAGTCTTTTTTTTTTTTTTTTTTTTTGAGACAGGATCTCAGTCTGTCACCCAGGCTGCAGTTGTGCGATCTTGGCTCAAGCAGTACCTTCCACCTCAGCCTTCCGGGTAGCTGGGACCACAGACTTGCGCCACCACAACCGGCTAATTTTTTGTATTTTTTGTAGAGATGGGGTTTCACTATTGGCCAAGCTAGTCTTGAATTCTTGAGCTTAAGGCATCTGCCTGCCTTGGCCTCCCAAAGTGCTGGGATTACTGGCATGAGCCACTGTGCCCAGCCTCTTTGCAATCTTAAGGGTCAATAGATCTCTTTTTGTAGAATGAGTTGTACTTATACTTTTATATCCAAGAACTTTTTCTTAACCTCGTAAAATTTTAATTAGGACAATTAAACCGTTTCTTTCTGTCCAAATGTAAGTAGGAGAATCCCAGCCTACCCCAGCTTGTAATGCAGAATATCTGAAATTCTTATGCTCTGTATTTTGGGGACCAAACTCCAAATGTTATGTTCTGTGTTCAGGAAAATCAAGTATGTGTTGTGGAACTGACAGGAGACAGTAGTAAGCCATGTAAAAGTATCTGTGGAAGCTTCTGTAAATGGATGTCAGGAGGTTTTAGCTGAGATGAGCTACTCCTTTTTCCCCTTTTGCTCTGGGAGATTGCTTTGCCTCTGAGAACAAAGAGGGGATATGGGAACTGACTTAAACATCCCCAAGCAGTGGACTCCTACTAATGGAATAACTTACATCACTTTGTCTCATTTCCTCCCCGTGGGTTTCATTGTAGTTTAAAGACCCAGGTCTGTCTGGCAGCTGGGTCTCACAGATTAAGCTTCCTTCTCAGTTCCAACCCTGGGTAGCAGTTTGCCCCTTAAGTGGTCATCAGCATCATTGTTAAGGGCTGTGAGTGGGTCAGGTTTTTCTCACGTTTTACCAATAGGCTTCTTGGATAGACAGATAAATTCATCTTCCCTTTCTCTACCTACCCCCACCCTATTTAGTGGTAAAATAAACAGAAATAGGCCTGTCAGATTTAAGGAGCATAATACTTTGAGGAAATCCCAATAAGAAATAAGTACATTTCTAATTTGGCTAGAAATTAATGGTAAACACCATTGTAAAAGTGGATCATGGTAGCCCAGGTTAGACTAAACTCTGGTAGATAGTATTCTGATCTATACATTAGAAATAAATTATGTCATATTATAGACTGATTTAAAATATTGTACAGTGTTTTTAGAAATAAGATCTTAGCACTGTGAATTTAACAGAAGCGTATAAGCTTCTATCTTAAGTCATAATTATTTTACTCAAAAAAAGTGAAGTTTCTAATAGATGCTCAGTAGAGGTCCAAATAGTAGTTTCTGTGGGGGAAGTAATGACCAGGAGGGGGCAGGAGGGGGCAGGAGGGGGCAGGAGGGAGCCAGGTGGAGCCGGAAGTGTTTTCTGTCTTGATCTGAGTGTATGTAGTTCATGTTGACACAGGTGGAGCGGTATGAAAAATTAATCAAGCCAAATTGCAAGATTTGAAAAGTTTATTATATGTAAGATATATGTTTATGGAAAAGAAAGCCTCTAAAAACATAAGACAATGGAGCTTTAAAAAAGGTTAGGTTTTACATCTTTAAAACTCATTAATAAGATACCAAATTCAAGAGATTATAGTTACATTGTAAAACATAATCCTCTTTGAATAAAAGCTAATAAGGACAAACTGATGAATTACAAATGCACTTATTTATTGGTGATTAAAAACAATACTTAACAAGTTAAGCAGCTTGAGTAGTAGTTTAAGCTAGACAGAGCAAAGAAAATTCTTGTTTAATATATATATTTTTAATTCCAGTAATATTTTCTTAAATTCCTGTTAAAAATATAATCAATATTATAGTCAGCAAAATGCCTTTGACTGACGCCTGGATTATTTTACCACTTAACCTGGTTACACAGTGATTTTTTTTTCTGTCAGATGTAGCTGACAACCAGTTTAGTCTTTAAGATAAATGAAGTGATAACTCACATTGCAGCATCTTGTGGAAAATATTCAAACTACATTTAAAATGCTTCTGTAAAATGGAGAACTCTATTGCTCCACAAGAAATTGTATATGTAAAACTACAGGTTGGCTATGGTAATAGCAACTAAACTACATCCAACCCTGAAGGTAGAAAAATCCCTGAAAAGAAATACACAGCCTAGTCATAATATATCATATAAAGGTTATTTTCTTATTTTTAAAATTCTCCCAATTTGGAGAGATCCAAACCTTTCCATAGTTCCCTTACTAGGCAGTGCCACATAAAGTTATTTAGTTAACATTATGAGCATGGCTTACGATTAAATTCCATATGACAAACACTTATATATAGCAGCCATCATTTTGGATGTTGGTTATGACAATATTTGCAGTTTGATTACAGAACACGCGTTCATTAAATTTGGTACAAAGCATGAACACTCAGGACAGATTGGCACAATACATGCAGTTCGAGAATTCTCTTATCTCAAGCCAGTCATCACTGAATAAGCCATAGTCTCAGTTCCGTTTTCCAAATCTTTCTCATATTGTAACTGACATTTAAAATGCTTCTTAAAACATCTTCCAGAATACGAAAAATACACTTTAAAAATCATTTATCTGAATGCATGATGGAAATGAGGCAGGATGGCAGAGCCAGTGCCAGCTGAGAACACATGAGGGATGGGGGGCAGGGGGAGCTGGCCCAGGCTCACAGTGCCCATGGCAAGTGGGGGTTCTTGCTGCTGCTGCCCCAGACAGCTTAACCTGTGGGGCAGAGATTCCCCAGGCCCCAGGGCAAGAGTGCTATTCCCAAAGGTATTTTGGGTAGCAGGAGGGGGCAGCTGCCAGAAGCCCAACAGGGGGGACAGGTCCAGAGAGGCAGGTATTGTTAGGTTCACAGCATCTGCAGGCAGCTCCTTGGGCAGGTTTACTTTACCAGCATTTCCCTTAGCCAGATCAAAACCTGGGTTGAGCTTTTGAGGTGACTGAGGCTCTTGCAGAGGCAAGTCCTCAAACAAACTGATATTGCAAAAACCTTTAGTATCTGCTTTGAGAGGCAGGCTTGCAAGTGGGGAGTATGAGGTAGAAGTGGTGTTGTACTTGTGATTGGGAAGGGGTGGCGGAGGAGAGCTAGGGGATACCGAGGGGTGGAGGGAGGCCAGGGACTCTGGCAGCGGCTGCATAGGCTGGGCGGCTTGTTCTGGGGGACTGAGGGTGAGGCTATGGACCTCAGCTGGCAAGCTACTTGCAAGCCCGTTCTGGGCAGAAGCTCCTAAAGGGAAAGGAGGCAAGGCAGCAGCCTTCAGTTGGAATGAAGTCGAGATGGTGTGGAAGGTGCTCAGAAGGTCTCCGGTCTGCAAGCTCTCTTTCATCAGCTCCTGTGAGTGGGTCTTCTTGGTATGCCGGGTAAGGTGATCCTTGCGCCCAAATCTCTGGGCACAGAACTGGCACAGGAAGTCCTTGCATCCTGTGTGGACCACCAGGTGGCGTCGCACATCCTTCCGGGTGTAGAAGCATCTTTCACAGTGGTCGCACTGGTGCTTCTTTTCCTTGGTTGCGCTAGGGGGCTTCTCTTCCGCATGGGATTTGAGGTGGTCCAGTAGCACCTCGGTGCTCCCTAGCTCCAGGGCACAGACCCCACAGGTGAGGTCCCCACTGCTGGCCGCATGGAGGGCCAGGTGCCTCTTATAGCCCAGTATGGTGTTGTACTTCTTCCCACACTCCTCACACCCAAAGGCCATTTTGTTGGGGTCGTGGGTCTGGAGGTGGTTTTTCAGGTGGTCTTTCCGGTTGAACGTCTTCTCACAGTGAGCACACTGGTGAGATTTCTGGGGAGAATGGGTAGCCATATGCCTAGGAGCAGAAGGAGAAAATTCACAATACAGAGTTGTTTTAAAGAGCTAAAGAAAGGTGTAGAAACAATATTATATCAAAATGTTAATAGTTTTCTCTGGGTCTTGGTATAATTTTCAAAATTCTTTCTTATATTTTCCAAATATATAAACTTTTATAATTAAAAAATCAAGCAATACTAAAGCCATAATACATTTTTCACACCTATAAAACGTTTTATGAGACAGGATCTCACTCTTTTGCCCAGGCTGGAGTGCAGTGGTCCGATCATGGCTCACTGCAGCCTCAACCTCCTGGGCTCAAGCAGTCTTCCCACCTTAGCCTCTCAAATAGCTGGAACTACAGGCACACACCACCAGGCCTGGCCAATTTTTTAAATTTTTCATTTCTTATTTTTTTTGTAGAGACAAGGTCTCACTATGCCCATGCTGGTCTCAAACTCCTGGGCTCAAGTGATCCTCCCACCTTGGCCTCCCAAAGTGTTGGGATTACAGACAAGAATCACCCTGCCTGGCCAGAATATTCTTTAAGAGAACATGTTTTTTTAATGTATACAGATTTCTAAACAAAGTATGCAAGTATTTAAAAATATGTGACCATGAAAAATCTTTTTCAGGAAGGGGTTAAAGGGGTCTTTTGTACTCTGGAAATTCAAGTAACTCAATTTGCCTGCTACCCAGAACCACATGAAGCCCCAGTTTTAGGTTATCGCTCCTAGTTCCTATGTTTCTGTTGTTTGAGACAGAAAGTTCAGGCCATGGACAGGTAACTCTTAGGAGCCTCTTAAAAAGTCCATCCTTAAGCTCAGAAAAGTGTCTAATAGGACTGTGAACATCAGCCTGCTGCCTGTGCTTTCAGCCTCAGCCTCTGCCCACCGTGAGATCTCACCACTGTCTTGATTTCCTTCATTCAAAGCTTGCCTATCAGCTCTTATCTCTGATGCTGCTGCCTGTCTCCATTACTTCAAATTTTCCCTCTAAGACACCTTTGACTTACTTCTTAAAGGTCACTGGTAATTTAATTGGCAAAATTCAAAAAGACTTTCTTCTTTAAATATGAAGCTGCTACTCCTAATAAGAGTTGTAAGTCTGTCTTCAACAATGGCTCAAGCCATAGTCCGTCTAGTCAATTTGGAATTTCAAAATAGCTATTTTATGTTTGTGAAGAAGAAATTGTTATGGAAAGCCACCACAATTCCATCTCTTTCACAGTTCCACTGACTTGCTAACATCTAAACTCAATGTTGCTAACATTTAAAAGCTCAGTGCATAAGGAAACCCTGAGTTTGTCATCCTTGAACTTTAAAAGGGTTCATTTTAATAACTAAAACACGGAGCACTATATGTTAGCATCTCGTATAAAACAATCCTTCATTACAACTTGTAGCTTCATATCCCTCAGGGCAGTTACCTCCTTTACGGGTTTTGTCATGAGAGGCTAAAGCTTGTCCTGACTGAAAATTTAAGTGCAGTTGTACCCTGTGAGCTTTCACGTTAGATACAAAAGAATTTCTAACAACTCATTCTGTAAAAGAGATAGGATCTCTTTAAGACAGTATGTTTAAGTCAAAAGTATACTTAATTACACCTTTCAGCCAACATCTGCCCTATACTGTTTATTCCTGCTCCTCTTGTGGAGCCAGAATTGGTGAGGGGTCTACAACAGCAGCTGTTGAGTGGAGGCCCCCACCTAGAGGCCGACTGGAAGCCAGTTCAAAAAATATACAGCTAATCTGAATCAAACTGTCATTTTCTTAAAAATAAAGTACAACCTCATGCCTCCCTCCTGTCTCTCATTAAAAATAAAAAATAAAAAAGCCTGCTGTGTGCATCCCTTCCCTTCCCTCCAGGACACCACGGCTGGTTCGCACATAAATGATAACATGGTGGGTACTGTAAGGCAGGGACAGGAACCAACACGATGGGCATCTGAGAAATCAGATTGTGCTGGTGTCTCCACGTTCTAGGTCTATCTAAATAAATGCACAGGTTGGAGAAAGGGTTTTTAGAGCATGTTAGAGGGCAAATAGCCATGTTGTTCTACAAGATATCTATATGTATATATATATCGCAGGAATAAATATGAAGTGGGGCTGGCTTACACACTTGGTATTTAAACCTTTTTTTTTTTTTTCCTTGGCCCAGTACTGGTGACCCACAGCTCTCGAGTCAGTTTGTACCTCTCTCTTTTCTTTCATTATAGAGGATTTTCATTTGATTTGATTTCATTTATCACCCATAGGTAGATCAATAACAGGTTAATTACTTCACCTGGTTATCTCCTAACCACTCTTTCCTGTCCTACACCTGTACTACCTGTAAGTGGGGTGCAAGCTGACACCCCAGTAGTACCTGAACAAGACCACTGCCTTCCAAACTTCACTAGCTCCCACACTTCTGAATTTCTTGACTCTTTCCCTTGCCTGGCATCTACTTCTTTCCCTTTTAATTTATCCCTTACTTACTTATGCAACAATCCTAATCTAGAACATTCTCATCCTGTAGCTGAAATTACTTCAACGACTTGTTTCTTTCCCTCAGTTTTTCATCTTACCTTATAACCCATGAAAACAACTTTAGTATGTCCTAGAGTCAGTACCCAATGCCACCATATTTGGGTATCATCTGGATCATATCAGTGATCTTAGAATTATTTAGAGGTTGATTGCTCACATTAGGACCTCCAACCTTGCCAAATCATCTTTTCTTGCCTGTTGCTGTCTCTAACTGGTTTCATTATTTGCTGCACTGGAACCCACATTATGTTTTCTGGTTAATCAAGTCAGTTATTTTTTCCTTCAACCTCTGTTGCCCCAACTTTTTTTTTTTTTTTTTGAGATGGAGTCTCGCCCTGTCATCAGGCCGGAAAGTGCAGTGGCTCAATGTCAGCTCACTGCAACCTCCGCCTCCCAGGTTTAAGTGATCCTCCTGCCTCAGCCTCCCGAGTAGTCGGGACTACAGGCGTGCACCACCACGCCCAGCTAATTTTTTATATTTTTAGTAGAGACAGGGTTTCACCATGTTGACCAGGATGGTCTCTATCTGTTGACCTCATGATCCACCCACCTCGGTCTCCCAAAGTGCTGGGATTACAGGTATCATCCTTTTTTGAAAAGCAAAACCGAAAGCATCCTGCCATCTCACACTCTTCCAGTCCTTTATTATATCACTGCTTCAGGCAAGAGAGGCAAGACATGCTGGGGGCTGAGGTAGGGAAGGCGGTTCGTACATAAAGTACACTGACAGCTCCCCTTTTTGCCTCTCTTTACGCCCTTAACTGAACAAGCCATTTTCCTTGCTCAGAACAACTACCTTCTAAACATGACTTAAGACTTCTTTTTCAGTGCAGTTTACCATAGTAAATTATTTCTCGGAACATGCGGGGTACTGATTCTACCTGTCATACCCAAATACACGTATACTCAAGTCCTGCGGTCCACCCTGTGGACCACGTGTGTATGAAAAGTCAGCCTTCAGTATACACAGGTTTCACACCCTGCAAATACTGTACTTTCAATCTGCATTTGGTTGAAAAATATTTGTGTATAAGTGGACCTGCGCAGCTCAAACTCACGTTGTTCAAGGGTCAACTGTAATTCCAATAGTTCTACCCCACTAATGCTTCTTTTCTAAACATTGGTATCTTGTATGTGTCTCAGTCTTTATCTACAGTTTTAGTGTCCTCACTGTGACTCAGCTACAGCCAGCGCTGCTCTCATGTTTGGATAAGGACCCTTACCCTACGCACACGCAAGAAGCTTCATGCAAAACAGGGAGCCTCTGCAACAAAATCATGCACATGATCGGCACTCAGTACTTCTGCTCGTGACATCTAGAGGGGGGCCCATGTACAGAAGACATTTGAATTTTAAAATACATAAGCATTTGCAGGCTAACTTTTAAAACCAACTTATTACATTACATTATGTATAACAGTGGTATTCTTAAGGGCCAGGAGCATAATTTCCATCTTCTCATTCTTTCAAGTGCCTTCCTCCAGGGTCACTCCAAGATTTCATAATGTCATCTATGGTAGTACCAGTCAGATGCAAAGTCTCACTTGCTAAAGCCTGGCTCTCTCCAGGCATTTGTATGTGAACAGTCAAAGTTGAAACTTCAAAGTTTACTTCATGAAATTAAGGGCAAATGGTGCATTTTCCTTAACCAAGTATCAAAAGCAGCGCGTGTGAGTGGGCGTGGTATGTGTGTGGCTCTGAGTGCACAGACACAACACACACCATGCTCATTACCAGTTCCGGTACTGTGCAGCACAGCCACTGCATGTACACGGAGCCTTCCTGTGATATTAAAAAGATCCTCTGGGGGCAGAAACTACATCAAATGTATTCATATCCCTCATGGAAGTAGGTACCTAACAGGCACTCAATAAATAACTTAGATTAAATGTGATTTTTTTTTTTTTAAAGACTCGTCCGCTAAAACAGTGCTTTTTATCCTTGGTGTGTCATGGATGCCTTTAAAACTTTGATTAGATGCACATGCTCCTCATCTGCATACCACCTGAACTCCACTTACTAGGGTGGCTTTCCACCCAAGCTGAGAAACTGTGTTCTAAACATTTAAACTTGGAGATGTCTCCTCCTAGCTTCACTCTCAGGACCCGGACCAGCTCCCTACATTTCATCCCTGGACTCTGAGAGCAGGTTTCAAATCAGCCTACCTGCCACTTCCTCAAATTATTATCAGAGTCCTCTTTCTAGGATACTAAACAAATCATATTACTTCACTACTTACATACTTGAATGAGACAAACCCTCTCAGACAGAGGTAAGGCCTGCTATATGTGGCTTCCTTCCTGCCTGCACTTTTAGCCTCATCTGCTCCTCCGCGGGTAGTACCCTCTGAACATGGGTGCTTTAAGGCCAAGACTTACGGCTTTCCCAGAACATCCTCTCTGCCTCCTCCTCTTTCATTGTGTCACAGCTTAAAGATTGTCCCCATCTGAGAAGCCTTCCCAGGTTTCATCAGGCAGTGAAGAACAACTTCTTCCACCTGTATAGCTCTGTCAGAGCAGTGAGGTTGTGTTTTAATTGCGTTGTCCTATTTCTCCAGCCATGGGGAGAGGCCTGGTATATTGTAGGTGCATAAGAAATCTCTACTGAAAGAATGAACTGACGCTACGTAACAAGACTGTCACATAAAACCACAGGAATCACTGGATGCAGATTTAAAGAATCCCTCAAAGGCTAAAATGCATCCGGATCCTGTGTCCCTTTCCCCTTGCATCGTGTGGTCTGAGGGCTAGAAAAGCCATTTAAACATACTTCTAAAAGTGCATACCTTTGCTAAAGCCTCTCACCTCATCAATTTATATCTGGAAACAAAGGCTTTGCCACAGTCAGGCTGCACGCACTTGTACGGCCGCTCCCTGGAGTGGGAATAATTGTGAATCGTGAACTTCTCCAGGGTGAGGAACGTCTTGCCACATAATTGGCAGGGGAACGTGGCCATGGGCTTTGCTTCTCACACCTTCCTTTTCAGATGTGCTGACCAAATGCTGTGCCATTTAAGCACAAACAGAAGGATGGTGCTGGGCACATCAGCAGAGTCCCTGCAGCTGAACTCCAGACCACGGGAAAGGCAGCATCGTGGGCCTGGTTCTACCCAGACATGGGCCTCTCAGCTGTCACTAGCTTTGCTTCCTGCTTTCACACATCCCAGTTTACATGCAGTCTCAAGCTGGGGGGAGAAAGTCTGAGGCACAGGTGCGATTCAGGAGCAGAAAGGTAATCTGCATCACTATAGCTGGGGCATGTCCTGGGTCCCCGGATTGGCTGTGGAGAGAAGAGGAACAGTTTTCTTGCATTAGCCATTTGAAAACAATGCTTTTCCTCCCTGACCGCTTCAGAATCAACTACCCACAATCACCACGTTCCTTTAAATGGTGCTCATGGAACATAATTCTCCCTGTGAGAGGGCCGTCTGCATATAAATCTACACGTCTGGCTTCTCAGAGTGTGAGGAGTCAAGCACTGATGGCCAGTGGAGCACACTTTTCCTCTGATAAGGACAGTTCTTTCCACAGATCCAGTATTGTCTATTTCAGGTCACTGTGAAGCTCAGTTGACCAAAGAGGAAAACAACAACAACAACAACAACAAAAACCTCCCTCAGTGTGTTCAAGTGTTTTTACTGGTCCATAAACAAAAATCACCCACGCTTATTCAAACCATGGGCTCTTCCTCGTCACTCATTGTTGGCGTAACATTAGTTGCTTATCACACCTGTTTAAACTTCCAGAGGATAAGAAATAATTTGTATACACCTAAGTTAATTTGTTTGTAAGATTACTCTGCAGAAGGGCTGATATAAACAGACTGTGCATAAAGCTAGTCTAGTCTGTCTAGTTGCACTGATGTGGTGGCACAAAGCTGATAGCTCAGGAACCAGCTCAGGCCACATTCAGATTTGTAGGCACCATCCTCTAGTAAGTTCTACTAATCTCTTCCTCTTTTGTTTATGGACCTTTCTTCATTCCCTGGCCCTACCCTGGAGGGCCCATCCAGCTACCTGCTGGTAGGCCACTTCCAGGAGGTGGGCCTACTGCCTCCTCAAACCCAACTTGTCTCAAACCCAAATCATTATCACCCTTCTGACTCAGCCACAGTCACCAAAAACCATGTTCTTTTTCTACCAATTGGCCATCATTGGAGGAACCTGAAGTGTCTGAGGCTACATCATGAACAATACTTCACTTACTAGGGTGGCTTTCCAGCCGAGCTGAGAAACTGTTCCAAAAACTTACACTTGGAGATGTCTCCTCCGAGCTGCACTCTCAGGACCTGGACTAGCCCCCTACATTTCATCCCTGGACTCTGACAGCAGGTTTCAAATTGGCCTCTACCTGCCACTACCTGCCAGTGTAAGGCCCTGGATCACTATCACCCTGTGCTATTCTAGAGAGAGATTCTCAGGTGGGTAAATGCTCACCTTTCAAGTGCCAATACTTAAAAAAATTAAGAGTACTGTATGCTTAGGTGAAGTACACTTGAGTAGCTTTTGTCCACAGGCCAGCATTTGCTGAACTTTGTCAGTAAGCAGAGCACTCATGGTAAGCTGACCAATTGCAGTGAGTCTTTAAAACCCTCCCTGCTCCTTGTAGTCATTTATTGCCATGTCTCTAGAGTTGCTCTTTATTGTTAAAAGTTAATTTTTACTTACCTTTTTGGTTACTTTCAGATCAGAAAGTATGAGTCTAACTAGATGAAACTTTATTGCAATAACAGTTTAAGCATGTTTAAATATAGTATTACGTAGTACACAGGCATAACCAAACACATACTCCTTTTCTAACCAGCAAAAATTCCAGGAAACTTGTAGAGTTCCTCATCTTCTGTTGTAGATGTTTTCAGTGTCTGGACAGAGTTCACAGTGCCAAGCAAATGCCCCTCACCATCCTGCCCCACCCACTTGGAAACTTGAAAGCTGACTTAGGCACCTTTGGTCAGCACTAATCCAAACCAGGGGACACACAGGCTTCCTCGGCCAGCACCTTGGCACCACGCCTTCTTTCTGATGGCTTTGATTCTAGCAGCACGCACAACCTCTGCAATTATGTGTGACCTGTCTTGGCTCTGTCCAAACCCCTTTCCCCCAACCCCTGGTTCCCTTCCAGTATTCTAGTTCATGCCTAAGGCCCTACCTTGAGGAATCCTCAACAGCCCTGGTCACAAACAAAATAACTCCTTCTAGGAATTCTATTCCGCCTGCCGAGTTTGTTCTGCTAGGTATCATGATCTGTTCTACTTCTCATCCAGCCTAAGTCTGGCCATAATACCGGCCCAGCTATAAAACACACTCATTCACTTGGAATTGCTCTGTGTTCTTTTTTATTAAAAAAGACTAACACACACAGAGTATGAAGTTTGAAAATGCATCTTTTTCTCCTTCCCTTTATAGCTGAACTCAAAATAGCCTTCATCCCACTCGCCCCTTCAGAGAAGGAGCTGGTTTGTTGGGGAAGGTTTTGTATTTCTCTCACCTATTTAAGGCCCTGCATATATACTTTTTCCAATTTATCTCAGTAAGCTGATTCTCCCCAACTCTTGCTTTGTGAGATGACCAGTATGTCCAACAGAACTTTCTGCAATATTGGAAATGTTACAGATGTGATGGCTACAGAACACTCAAAATGTGCCTCTGAGAAACTGAATTTTTTACTTTAACTTTAATTTAAATTGCTACATAGAGCCAGTGGCTCCTGTACTGGATGGCACAGGCAGACTCTTGGTATCCCCATGAAAGGAGATGAAGGCAAGGCTGTGTTTTCCTTGCACACAACTGTGCTGCTGATTCAGCCTCAGGTGTTTACCCTGAAGCTGTAAATCCAGCCACTTGTTCTGTGAATCCAGTGGAAAGACTCCCCAGTTCAAATTCCAGCTTATCCATGTTATCTGTGTCCTGAGTTTCGGTTTCCTCAATTGTGATAGTTACCTGATGTATGTAAACAGGCTGCTGGGACAATTGACTGAAACAAAATGGATCTGAAAGCACACTGTAATCTAAATGAACACCCTACAAATATGCAGTATTTATGAAACACTGGGATTAAAAGTACTGTAGAACCACGTGTCAATGTACAGCTCACGTTCTAACCATTTAGCTATGGATGTAACCGGAAAGAGACACATTCTCTCCCTATGGATACTATATTGTATCAATTGTACGGAAAGAAGCAGCAGTTTGGACAACACATGTGCAGAAAGGACACAAGAGGTGGCAAGTAAAACGCCGGCATTCTTTCTCAGCAGATGTAAACCTTGACTAATTGCTTACCAAACGCACTAGGAGTACAAAGAAAAAAATAAAGCTTATTCAATTGAAAAACTTGCCCTTTGGCACTGAATGAGGTTTTCCAGATCTCTTTCCAGCCACTTCTCTAGATTCAAAACGCCAGCAGTCATGGACATCACCCATGCATACATTTCCCCTGAGCCCTCAAAGATGAAGGGGACAGTCTGAGCGTTAGACACGGCCATGGTTTATTTAAAGATGAGACACATTTCCTCCAACTTCAAGTTTCCCTCAAAGACCAAAACATTTCCCTCAAAGACTAAAACACAAAGCCTCTCGTTTTTATGCTTATTTCATGAATATCTTTTCCCAAGGCTTTATCTTGAGTTCCAGATTCGTGTGTTTAATATACCTAGCCTAACACTAAGTGCAAAGTTGGTCCTCAGAACTAAATTAGTTATATGATAGTGAACATTCTTTAATTTCTTCAGAGAGTCCTTAATGAACTCAAATTCATAGTAATTTTTAATCACCATAACTATGTATTTCTTCAATATGGGCCTTAGAATAAAATAAATATTTGTTTTCATGATATAATAATAAACTTCTGTAAAAATAAGACTGTCTTCCCCAACAGACTATAAACTCTTTGTGGCTGAGGGTCAAAGCTTTGTTATTAAAAAAAAAAAAAAAACTGTGTGGATATATACAACATCTCTCATCACCATGCACTTGATCGGCTCTGGCTGTTTACTGATGAGCCCAATCTTTGGTTGAAACCCGATGCACTTTCTGGCCACATCCTTAAAACAACTTAGGACAGCTTTCTATTATCTGGCAGACCACCATCGATCCTAACAGAACTGACAGAGCAGATAGTAAGTCTTACCCCAAAACGTCTCAGGACATAATTTTCAGTCCCCTTGATTCTAAAAATACTGAGTGAGTGATACAGATCTGCCAGTATGCCAAAGAAGGCTTGTGCCATCTGCTTCGTTGTGCTCATGTTGATTATTTTGGGGATGAGAGAGGATCAGACTGGAAGAAGAACATATATATATGGTAACAGCCAGGAAAGACTGTGTTCCCAGGGGACAGGGGTATACGAGGGTGGAGGGGGAAGTCAGAACACACGTGTAGTTCCAGGACTTCCCCAATGCTACATAACACAATCATCTAATGGGGCACAACTGCTTTACAACATTCTTAAAATAAACTGTGACTTCTGGCTTCTATTTCTATTGTCCCCACTGACACAATCAATGCAAGACCCATTTCTGAGAGGAAATTGAATTTCCACTTTTGGTCTTCCAACACAGTTGTTTTTCTCAATATCAGTTCTTTGAAGGACTTTGGTAGCAGTCTCTATCAAATTTTTAAAAAGCTATTTAGAAATGTCATCAGTAGAAAGATGATGTCCAGAACCTCCAGGTAGTCATGGCTGCCATGTCTGCAGACCTCACTCCCATCATGGCCTAAAGGCAAGGCCAAAGATCAATCTACTTGCTGTTTCCTTCTAGTGCTACTTTCTCTCACGCTTCTGGCTTTCTCCCTCCTGGAATGTCCTGGGAACCCTTGTCTACCTGGCAAATTTCTACTTTTCTCTGTCACTCCCAGGCAGAGGCATGAGTTCCTCCTCCACACAGTGAGGCCCAGTAGAGATCTCCACCTTACTGTGTTTGAAGAGCTTTCATTCTAGCTTATCCTCATTGTAGGAGACACCACCTGCCCTTCTAGTCTCTCTGAGAGAGCCACCTGCTGAGCCATCAGGTTTGTTGCCTATAGGTTCTTTTCAGCTGTCACCTTGAGACACTGAATTTTGTTAACCCAGTGACTAAGCTCTTACTTTCTAAGAAATGAGGCTTAAGATAAACAAGAAAGACAAAGTGAATTATTTCTTCAGTATTCAGGGAGAAAATTGAGAAAGCTGTCCAGATGATGATGCTACAGCTTTGGAACATCAAATCCACATCCTAGCCAGAACATCTGAAAAGGGACAGGGTGTGTTCCGTTTACAAATAGTGTAATATCTAGTTAAAGATGGCCAATTGAATAAAAGCATGTAGCTCTGGTCTCTCCAAAAATTCTACTAAAACAGTGATGGTGGGATTTTTCTAAAACACAGCCTAATATAAAAGGGGGAAAACAACAAATTTTGGAAGCTGAAAAGCAGGTAAACAAACAGTGATCGACTTGGTCATCCTAAGAAAGCTAAACTTTAAGCCAGCAATAAGAGGCAACAAAACAACCTGCTATACCCTGCAGCATCTACCATACGTCTCCGCAATTTGGTACAGTAAGTACTTCTGGAAGTGAGGATGGAAACAGGTAGGAAAGCAGCAGGTGAAAGTCTGTTAGTGAAGCACTGAGCCCTCCTGACCTCTCCTGGTGCCTGCAGTGGGGCACCTGCCCTTCCTTCCCCTAGCACAAGTGCTCGCTATGGAGAGTGTATGAAAGTGGGGGAGTATTCTGACACAGGGTGAATGTCCCCTCTCTCAGGCCAGGAGGATGGAGGAGTCTTCCCTGGGAAGCTGACGAGCCCAAGAGAAAAGAGCAAACCATAAGGACAAAGGGGGTTCCTCCAGGGGTCGCCACCTTACCCTATACAAGGCTCCAGCTGACAAGCCCCACCTAAGTATACAAAGCTCCCATCAGCTCTTTACTGGTTCGACTCACAAATTAGTAGGCCAAGAATCACCAGAAATCAGAGGAAGGCACTTAATAGGGAAAACGGACACAAAAACTAACGGGGAAAAAAAGACTATGGAGGGAAGGCAAACTTCAAAAAAAGAATCATTAATATCCTAGAGAGAACAGAGGTCCTTAAAAGAAGAGCAGGATATTATTTTTTAAAGAGAACACCACCAACAAAAAGGCAGTGGCAGTGCAAGACCCCAGGGGCTGGGACAGGCATTTGAGTCAAACTTTCAAGGGGAACACTTGAGAACCCAGAGAGCATCTGAGAGTCAACACCATGAAGCAACCTGTTATAACTCAGCTAATATAATCCAGTGACTAACATTCATTGACGAAATGGTTAAAATATGTATCATTACACCAAAAAACATGAAAGGAGAGGGGATGATTTTTAAGGCTAGCCCCTGACTGCATCTACATGGAGATGGAGTGAGGTGGTAGAGGTAGGTAGAGGATGCCAATAAAACGTTCAAGAGGGAAGGGATGACTCCGATGAGCAGGGAGCTGGAATCTGACACCACAGAAGTGCTTCATCTCTCACAGATCTGGGGCCACTTCCACCACTGGCCTTCCTCATCCGTACAGCATGGAAGCAAGGGGCTGGGACAGCCAGGATCCCCATAAAAGGGCCAAAGGCCTTCTTCCAGATGGGTCATCCAGTATAGTACCCACCAGGGGGAAAAGAGGAAAAGAAATACTGTTGCAGACTCTTGGATCTTTAACACGCCTCCTCACCTCTCCCTACCATATGCATTGTATTTTTAAATAGAAACATCACAAAAAAAAAAAAATAGACAAATGTCTACAAGTAAGTAAAATAGATGTGTGCATTGAGAAAGGCAAGGGTTAAGCCCAGGCCTGGTTCTCAAGCTGAGATGGGACTGCCTTGTTTGAAGAGGACTATTTATTAAAGAAGACTCTCAGTAGCCTGGTGGGGGGTGAGGGGTGGAGAGCAAGTCCCAAAATCCAGACAAGAGCCTTTGGTATTAGGGGAAGATTTTCTAATCATTATAGTCAGGAACGGGGATCATTCCTTTATGACAGCTGAAAATATATCCCCCTCCTCCCTCCCTAGAAACCCTTGAGTCTCACCTTTAGGCCCTTTTAGGGTCTACTTCTATAGCTGATGGCGGTGATCTCTTTTCCTGGGACTCTAAGTATAGGACATGGAGGAACTGCAGCTCTAATTAGCAGCAGGACCTATTATTTTTCCAATAAGGTTACTATTCAAGGGAAAGAAAAGCCTGTTTCTTTCTCAGGAAGTATGTGAAAATATAGGCTCACATTGAGAAGAGAAATGTGAAAAGCATATTAGTTACATTGACCATGGGATGCCCGGTTTGTGCGTTAAAATGACCTGAATGACCTTGAAGGATCTGAGATCTAGAAAGGATGCTCAAGACTTGGGTGGACTGTTTGATCCTAAAATAACATATCACTAAATAAACAGAAAAAGGCCTTGAAGTGCAGATAACTACATGGCAGCAGGGCATCTTGACAGTGGAATTATAGATGACCTCATTTTTTTTTTTTTATTTTTTGAATATCTGCACTTTCTAAAGTTTGATAATGACTATTTAGGCTGAGTCTAGGAGTATACCAGGGAGGAGGTATATTGCAGATGCAGAGGGGAGAATAGAGAAGAAGAGCTCGGAGTCAGGAGCAGTATGGGGCATTGTGGAACATGTGGTGCAGACTGGCTGGGATCAACAGGAGAAGGGCCCGTGTCAGAAAACCAATAGCAGGGATAGCGCACCTGGCAGGGGACATTGGGTTTACCCTATAGGGAACCGGGAGGCAGTGAAAGTGAGGATGTCCCATCTACAGATGAATTGCAGAGAGGAAAATGTTACATATAATCACTTATCCTTCCCACATGGTAATTCAGTTACCTGGAGAGAACAGCCGATTGAAAGGTACTATTCTGAAATGCTAATTGGTTCTTTTTACATGAGACGAACCCAAGACCAAGTCGGATTACCCTAGACACAAATGTGATGGACAGTTTTAAAGTAACATGCAGTATTTTTTTCAAGCTCGATGTAAAACTATCCGGAACTTATAGTAAACTGTGTACATGCATGGTTATGTGAGAAAAGTGAAGCTGCTGCACCTGTTCCAAAGCTCACTCCGCTTCCTCCAGAAGCATGCCCATCTGCCTCTCGGGACACAGGCCATATTTTATTAGACACAATTATTGCCAGAAGCTTGAGAATTTTCTCTTTGCCTTTCCATGTCATGTCCAATAAATTCAAAGGATGCAAAGCAAATTGTTCATGTAGGAATACTTAATTTGAGAAATAAAAATATTTATCACTAGTCCTTTAAGATTATCCTGGTTCTTGATTTTTTCTTTTTAAACTGATTGACATTTCATCGGGTTTCCATTTTAAAAGAAAATGGCACTGAAGGGACAAGGCAAGTTTTCCAAGCGACAACACTGGCTTTTCTGAAAGGGGAAAGGAATGTTAAGGAAATGGGGGAGAAAGCTTAAAAAGAGTGGAACACTAGCAAGCAGGGCCTCTTCTCCTTTTCACCTTAAGTCTTTTTTCTCTCCCATTCACAGCTTTAGGTCCTTTGTTTGTTTAACAAACCATTACAATCATACCCAGTTCACTGGGGGAGGAATGTGAACTCTCTGAGTAGCTGTCCTTGCAATCCACATGTGTGGTCCATCTCCCGGCTCATCCGCAGGCAGGCGGCTTTCATGTGCTGCTCTGCGCTCCCCGTCGCCCTGGAGGCCAGCACCTTGCTCACAATAAGCCTCAATTTCCCACCGCTGCCTGCTCGCAGCTCCTCCCCAGCAGCCGAGAGCAGTGTCTCAAGTGGCTCTTCCTCCCCTGCTTGCCTTGCAATCATACTGTCCACCCTGCTTTGGCTGCCCCCCTTCAGCTCCTGAGACAGACAAGGCCTGCTGTGTTAGCCACCCCCCACCTGTTCGCAGCCCATGGACTCGCCACTGAATACTGGACAGACACATTCCAGGATCTTCCTGGCTAGCACTCCTAGTCTTCTAATGTCAGGCGCACTGTAAACAGAAGATAGAGTCAAGACTCTCCCCCACTTCACCCCAACTCCCAGCCCTTACTAGAACTGCTAGTGCCTCTCTCAGGTCCTAGTAGATATGTTGGCCCTGTTGGGATTAATTTCAATTTCTTGGTCAATAAATCAAAATATTTAGTGACAATATTGTATTTCAGTAGGAGTCAGAATACTATTTAATAAACTATTTCAGTTGAGCTCATAAAGCTTTCTCATGCTATTCTAATAATTCCCATCTCACAGCTCTAAGAGATAGGTAGAAAAGCATCATTGTCCCCATTTGACAAATCAGGAAACTGAGGCTCAGAGGATTTAAGTTTACTGCCCATAAGCATGGACTAATGAGATACTGCAAGTAATACACTATCCCAAGCAAAGCTCCTAGCACAGAGTGAGTGCCCCAAAGGCATTAGCTTCCATTAATATCATTATTGGATGATAATGATGATGAACAGAGGTTGCTCTCAGGTGTTCTGAACTAAGCCAAGTGCTCTTTCAACTTATGCTTTGCCATCCCTTCTAGCCACGCTGTCTACATGAGCAGTGAAGTTCCGCAACAGCTTTTACAACAGTGTTTTCAAATAAAGCCTCAGGAAGTATGACTGGATTGCCTCGTGTGGCTGGGATGTGACCAGCATCTTTCCCAGGCTTATCTTTCAGTCTACATCTGCTACAAAGAGAAGACAACCTCTTACAAATCCTATGTACACAAGTTAGGAGTGATGGCAGGGGCAGCTTTCTTCTTTTGAACTGACGGGGTTGTCAGCAGAAAATTCCATAGATCTATGTGTATTACTAGGCTGTGGATGTGGGACAGCAGAGGTCATGAAAAGTTGCTAACTGCATCATCAAATTCCCTGAAACGCATGTGCACTGAGCTTTAAAAAATGAAAGGGCTAAAAGAACCCTGTTCTCGGGTATTTTGCAGTTTGTGGAGGAAATGTGTTTATTTTCTACTAGAACCTTTTTGAAGTACCCTGAACCTCCAGCATGTTCTTGCCTATGATGTGTTTCCAAGCAATCATTAATAAACATGCCCAACTAGAAATAATCTTAAAACATGCGCACCTACTGAGTGACAGGAAACATCTGCTGCGAGGCAGGGACTGAGTCCTCCCAGAAGTTTGTCTGAAGATTCAAACCTGTGAGAAAAGACCTTGTACATCGTCAGGGAATGAAGCTAGGAAAACATTTCTCCATTATGCTACCCCCGAGCTTCACTTCTAGAGCACACACATGACTGGCGACGTGCAGAGGAGATTTTCTAGCGTGTTTTCATGCATTTTAATAGATGATCTTTAAGTACTTATATCCTTTGTCCTACTTGCAACTGGATTAAGAAAAACTCTCAACTTTTCCCCTGCTTTCTGCAAGTGGAACAAAAAGAACACATGAAATTGCTTACATAAAATATTCAAAAGAGCACTCAGAGGAAATGGTATTTTTTTAAACCAACAGTATTAAAATACCATAAAACAGGTATGCAAATCTATGCAATAACAGAACCTAAAACAAATTCTGAATTGAAAGAAAGTCAGCAAATAACCAGTTGGCACTCAACAAAGGGGCTTCATATAAATAAAGATTTATCAAACTTGCAGTGCAAGAAGGTTGAAGTCTCCACATTGAATATTTAATTAAATGGTTACTAAACCTGGCTATGCATTAGAATCAGCAAGGAAAACTTTTAAAAATACAGATTCCTGGGTGGCCACAGGGCAAATCAGCGCAGACTAAAACAGCATCACTGGGACCCCAAGAATTTATGTTTTTACCAAATCTACAGAAACCAAGTCTACAGCCAGCTTTGTGCCACTGAACCCTGATGAGCATTTGGAAACCAGCATTTCTGTTCACCAAGTAATTATCAAACTTGGTTTCTTCCTACCAAGACTATTCCAATCAATTGCTCCTCTTACAGGAAAGCTTTTCAGGATTTTCTTAACTAGTACAAAGGCAAATCTGTTATGGAACAAAGCCAATTAATATCTCACCTAAGTGATTTATTCACTTGCCTATTTTCTTCTGTGAATTTGATCAAAAAGGCTATGTCCATTTATTTTGTATGATAACATCCTTTGAAGTTAAAAATGGAAAAATCAAGGCCATTTTTGGACAACTGTTTTAAAAATAATGCATCACAATACAGGAAAAAACTGGAGGTGAGCAGGTTATTTGTCTGAGTCATTTAGGGAAATTGTTTCCAACGTATTCCTTGTTTTGCTTGTATAAACACTTTACAAATCATCTTCATGGTCCATCTCTTTTCTCAAAATGCTCAACTTTTATTGTGGTGGTTTAATTGGGTGGTCTCCAAAGGCTTGTATAAAAGTTTTTTTGAAAGAGCTTTAAAAAGACATTAAAGCAAAAGAGTAAAATTCTTCCAGATGATTCTTCCTTTGCGCCTACCCATCTCACAAATGAACAATACCAATTTATGTATTCAAAGAGGCAGGGGTTCTTCTGCTTCCCAGGAAAGGGTGCATATAACGTGAGGTACGCAAACCAGGCAGTGAAGTAGCTTAGCTTCATTGTGAAAATATTCAAATTATCACAAAAAGAAAGCGATTCCTTTCTGAATTCAACAATACTCCTTGGCCTCCGAGGGCTCACACAGGAGCTTATTCTTAAGCTGTTCAATGTAAGCAGCACTCGTGAAAGAGGAGAACTCTGGCAGGGAGGAGATCAAGTCCCTCAGCTTTTCCCACCTGCCATCTCTGCGCCAGTCTAATGCTTAAATAGTTAACAATACAACAGAGAGCCCGAGGCAGGCCCGACCTGGGGGGAAAATCATGTGCAGTATATGACGATTTAATAAAGCAGAGAAGAGACAGGAAAAATAACACATCTTAGTTTGACAGGATGCTACTTGCAGACTGCTTTTCAGGTCAGAATTTAATTTCTAAAGCAGAGGGAAAAAAGGGTTTTCATAACGTCAATTATTCTTTTTTAAGTATGTGGTTAAAAATGACCCTATAAAATTAAACAATCCTACAGATAAATGTTTCCGAGTTCCAGAGTAACAAGAAGAATCACATTTTTCTAGGAGTGAAGACTGGCAGATGCTAAACAGATTAGTTAATTGTTTTAAACGAAGGGGGAAATATTTTTTGGTAAGTTTATTTATTCGTTGATGACAAAAACCAAAGTTTCACAGATCTAGGGTTTATGAGTTCCAGGATGTGTTTTTGCTGTCACAGTATGTTTTTCTAGGCATTTGCTTCTGAGAACAGCATTTAAGAACATGTCTTTTTCTCTCTTAATGAACTGGTTTAGCCGCCTGCTGGGCATTCACTGAAACCCACATTGAACAAAGGGATTTCCTTCCAGTTTCAGCTCATTCACTTCTAGCGACTCCTGATTTTACTTAAGCAAATTCTCCAAACTGACTTTTTTATTTCTAATGATTTGAGTGGGAAAGAATTGGGCAACCCTCAAACACTGGGAAGTCTGCCCTGGTTCTCAGTGAAAGAATCCTCTAGACTGACCATGTACAAGGTTTGTTTTTGTAAAGTCTCTCGAATGTGTTTTAGTTTCCAGATGGAAAGGAGCCCACCCGGTTTGGTGGATTACAGACAACTAAATTTTATTTCAGCAAGACGGATCATGGTGAACAATGAGACTATATCTTTGAAATGAAGACCCTGAGTGGGATATTCAGATTCACCTCCAAGCAATGATGTCATTTTAAAGGTGACACTGAAGGGCATGGTATTAAGGGGTCACTCGACGTTGGAACAGATTTGTGGGCCTGGCAGCTGGTCTTCTACCTTCTCCCATTATACATGATCTCCCTGGGGGACCCCATGCATAACCCAAGGTTACAATTACTCCTTGAAGTCAGAAGCCTCCCAAATCTCTATCTTCAATCCCGAACTTTCTTTCAAATTCCAGACTAATACATCTACCTCCCTCCTGCAACTCTTGGATACCTTGCAGTGCCCCTTCAAGGTCACATGGTGGGCTTCAAACGTTAACCCGCAGACTTGCTCCTCCTCCAGCACTGCCTGTTCTAATGGCACCGTTATGCAATAGCCATCAGGGCTCCCGGATCCTCACCAGGTGATGGCTACTGTTTTACGAACTTTACTTAATACCCTTAACAACCACATGAGTAAGTAGCATTAACCCTATTTGACTAATGGGGAAACTAAGTCTTAGAAGTTGTGCTGATTTGCCCATGATCCTACAGCCAGCAAGCAGTTAAGCTGGGCTGTGAATCCAGGGTGCATGTCAAAAGTCTACCTCTTCCCATGTCACTTTCCAGCCTCTCCAAACTTAGAAGCTCTGCAGTCTAGATTGTTCTCAGAGATTAAGCTTTACAACCTTATTGTCTCTCAAATCTGTTTCCTTCTCTTAATTCCCATAGCTACCTACTGTTCGAGTGATGTTTTGCCTTTATTAGGGCCTCCAAATTGGGATAGCACGACAACTTTGGAATTTTACTTTGTTTGAATTCCCAGTGATTTTCCTTTCTAGCTCATTTAAAACAGGTGGCAGCCTTTGTAATCCCTTGTATTTTCATCCAGCTGAAGACAGAAGCATCCTGAAGAAGTCTGTCTTTGTTAACAATATCTAAACCTAGAGAAGAAATTCTGCTGGACTTCTGGGAGGGGAGAAGGAGAAGCAGAGGAGAAGCTGCCAAAATGACACTCTCCCTACCATCTCCCCATGGCCAACCCCCCCATCCCAGGGCCTGATAAGGAGATATGCCAGCCCCCAGCAAGAGAGGCCCTTGCACCCCTCTGTTCCCTAAGGCAATGAGTAGAATCCTTGAGAAGACAGCTACGTGAAGAGTGTGCCTCCGGAGGCCAGAGCTGAGGCAGGAGGTTTCCAGCCCTCACTGGCAACCCTGAGGCAGACAGCTACAAGGATTCAATAAATCACTACTTTGATAAACTGAAGGTCAGAAGTGGGTTCCTCATCTTCCAGAGGCCATGAAAATCTCCAGGTCCTAGGACACACTCCATGGGGGAAGGGGAAGCACCTAAAACTTACTGACATGAAATTTCCTCTAGGTTGGCAGAATGCGAACTGGAGTCCGTTTTCATTATGGTGAATGAAAACAGTAATGCTCCTTGCATACTTGACGATCTGAGGTGAAATGCAGGCTTGTGGGGTGCCTCAATAAAGTGCAGAATCTTAGAACAGCACATATCTGTGCTATAGACTAGCTGCAACTGCTGGAACTGGAGCTGATCTAGTTTTCAAAAAAAGCCACCGCTCGGTTAGAGAGACGAGCACGGACTCTGCTTAGGCTCTGGTGACCTAGGGCAGAGGGGTGGGGTGGCGGGGAGGGCAGCAGGCTTATGCTTTAAAACCCTGAGGCAGATAGAGAAGGAAGGAAGGAAACAAGGGCAGATGTTAGAGTATACTCACAAGATTAACTCCTCTGATTCCTATGCAAATACCTAGAAAGGGAGAGATACACAAAGTTATCTTTAAGGTCTTTATCATCAGCTCTGAATTGCTAAAATAAACAAAAACACCCAAGTAGCGGGGGGAGGGGGGGAACGGAAGTCTACTTGGAAGAGGAAAGAAAGCAGCTGGTGCTGCTGAAGTCATGAGATCCAGGACACCCCTGTTTCCCAAGCCTGGACGTGCCTCCCAGCGTAGCATGCTGGCACGGAGCGGGAGGGATGATTTCCATAAGATGGAAATGATTGCGTGCTGGAAAATGAGGTGCTTTAGGGGAGAGAAGATTCCTAACCCAGAGGAAAGGATATAAATCTTTAATATGTCACATTTGTTGACTGTAAGATGTTGCAGTAATGGTCGGTACTTGCAGCACCAAATGGGCAGTCTAAGGGGTCCGGGCTTTGAAATCAGTCATGTTATCCAAACAAATTCCACTTGAGCTCCATGGCTGAATGTCTGAGACCTTCAGAAGAAGTTTATAAAGGCCCTGGTGGAAACTGAAGAGGATTTTAGATACGCCAAAGATGTGCTGGCCATTACACAGAGACTAGAACTTTTAGTGGCGAGAGCTCTGGCTGGGAGAACCTCACATTCCTAAGAATCAGCAACCGGGGACCCCATTTTCCTGCCAAGTAGGCACACTATTAAATCTGATGGGCATGTCTAGGGGAAAGATGACCTGGGAAAGGAGTTGCTCGGGGAGCAAGTGCCCTGTCGCAGAGGCAGAGATTGCCAAGATGGTCTGCTAGGGATTGAGGCACAAAGCCCCCTCTATCTACTTTAGTTATAAGGAGGTGGGAATGCTGTGTTAAATTGTACCCAAGAAGATAACTCATAAGGCAAGGAACATGGAAACTAGGGTGTGTTGGGCAAGTAAGCAGAGGTTGCTTGCTTTACTGAAAGTGGGGCTGCTCTGGTCTCTCAAGGGTCTAGCCTTGGTTGGCACATGCTTCCCTTGTCACACCAGACAGGTGAGACCAAGAAGGGAAGACAGAAAGAGACAGTCAGTGAACACCTGCATGGCCCAGCCCCAACCCCACCACTTAACATGGCAACTACGTACAGGAGGCTACTTTCCAATCTGTGGTGCCCAGAAACTTGGCAGGGATAGGGGGTTTGCATGGGGAGGGATGCTAGAGAATGGAGAACAAGCTCACTCTATTGTCCCAAACTCAATTTTCGTGTGGCTTCCTTTAAACAAGCCACAAGCTCAATGTGTCAGTTAGGTCAGTGGAGAGAGAGATTTCTGCATGCTAGAGGCAGATCCATATTGCTTCCCCAGTCTCTCTGTTTTTGGATGGTTCCCCTTCATTCTAATCACAATGCTGCTGCCAAGGTGATTCTTCTAACATGCAGATATTTTCCTGTCACTTGCCTGTTTGGAATTCTTCAATGGTCCCCTTAGGTTTCTGTCCACTGCAACGAAAAGTCTTGTCTAATTAGAACCACTGAAAGTTTTTAATCAAGAGAGCAATATGTTCAGGCTTGTGTTATAGAAAGAAACTGAGAGAGCAGACATACAGATTATCCTCCTGGATTTATCAGTTATATACATTAAAATGGCCAAACAGTAATTCACATAGCAAAACAAACAAAAAACTCAACTGTGCACACACACATACACACACACAAGCGCAATAACTGAACTCTGAAGTTCAGTATACAGCTGTTCACAAAGCATTCTAAATCTTCCCTGACTCAGAACAACATCTTCGTGCACTCTGATTTGAATATGTGGTGCAAATGAGAACCATTTTAGGGAAACAACATAAGATGACTATGATCTTAAGGTGGTTTCAATTTACATGGTGATTGTGAGTTTTATGAACCACCTCTAATTCCTACTCCTGGAACAAAAAGTGAAAAATTACCTTGGTAAACGCCACATCATGGATCAATTAAGTTATTCCCCAAATAAAGTATCCTTTGTTATAGTATAAGCCTGCATAATTTCTAGCATTTTAAACATTGATAGAGAAATGTACTTTTTTTTCTAATTTTAATGTTTAACACTCCTATGTTATGATCCCCAACGCCCTTCATCCCACCACTGATTTCATTTTAACTTTTGTTTGTTCATGGAGGGAAGTAAGGAAATTTTAATGGTATTCCTTAGATAATACATTTTCTTACCTAAAAGTAGTACAATAATGAGTTTTATTCTACCTCAGTCCACTATGCGGCATGCACACTCTACTTAATACTAGGTTGTGTTCCTACAGTTAGTTAAAAAAACCAACTAGCTGGTAGAAAGATGGTGTGGTCTAGTGTACAGGAAACTGGCTTTGGAGTTGGATGGATCTAAGTTCGAATGCTGGCTCTGCTACTTGGAAGGTGTGTAACCTTAGGTAAGTTGCATAACTTCTCTAAGCCTCAGTCTCCGTCACCATAAAATGGGTATATCTATATATCTTGCAGAGCTGCTCTACAATTATGCATAACACATGTATATTTAGAGGCACAATGACTGGTACCGAGTCCAAAGTACATGTACGAAGTAAATGTGGCCTGTGAATAAAAAGTGTTAGGGCTGATTTTACACGATGGGTAAGCTCACAACTAGGAAACATGAATAACTTTTTTTGGAGTCACATATATATATAATAGAAAGTCAGAGTATACAGAATGGATTCGCTTCCATCATGTTTCTTTAATGTGGATCATCATGACACAATTCCATCTCCTGGCATGTGTTTATAAAATAAATTTCTACTATCCCTGTGCTTTCACATTTTCTCACATATTTGAGAAATTCCTAGATTCTTAAGCAGTGTAACCCTATTTACTGAGATTTTAATGGCAATATCATGTTTAACTAGAGAAAACAGTTACAAATGGGCCTGGCATGAACTGGTCCTACAGGTGCCATAAAGTTACCCAAATGTTATAATGAAGCGATTGAGGGCGTTTGGGGATTTTGCTACATTTTTTTCCTTCTGAACATATTGGTGGGGGTAGTGGACTAGTTTTAATTAGAATCGTTTGGAGAACAGGAATCCAAACACACGACCTAATATTCTCCTAGTTAGCCTTCCGCCTGAGGCAGCTGTGGACAGCCTTCCTAGAAGTCAGCCTCACGATAAAGAATAGAGTGAGAAGTGGTTTATCTAGTGGGAGGTTTGTGGGGGGAATCGAATGTAAGATGGGATATAAGAAAACTTACAAAGACAACTGGAATTTTTAAAAAATACACCATTATGACCTTCAAGGACATTTTGCAAAGAAAAAAAAAAAGTCTGGAGAGAGGCCAAGAGTTATGGTTAAGCAACAGCACTGCAGCTGCAAAACAAGTGAGGGCTGCTTTGGGGTGACATGGCCTTGAACCTAGAATTAATGTATATGACAGGGAAAAACAACAACCATGTTAGATATGAAACTTAAGGCTGGGATTTGGAATCATTATCTTGAAATAGGCGGTTAAAACAAATCCTAATCTTTCCATGAGTGGTAGAAAATAAGAAATAAAAGCTTCTGACATATAATGGGCCCCTGGCAACCATGAATTCCCTCAAATAAACACTGGATTGAGCGACATAACCTATTTTATAACTCTAGAAAATTTGGCAAGCTGAGAATCATCTCACATTATGATTTTAGAAGAGTGGTTTAGAGACTCTGAATTGTAACATATGTTACGTTCTGGATATCTGATTCTAAATGGTGGACCCTATCTCAGTTTTTTTTCCTAATATTTCCTTAAGATAAAACCATTTAAAAACACCTTTTTAAAATATAACAGAAAGAGAACAAGAAGTTTCTAGTGAGCAAGTCATGATAAGTAAAAATCAACTGTACAATGCCCATGATTTCTAATTTAAGACAAATAAATAGCAATGATCATTCTTAGCGTGTCCTCTTGATTTTTTTAGAGTGAAAAACAGGCTTTCATTTAAGACCACATCTTAATCCGCCAACCTTATTTTCCCCTCAAAGCCTGAAGTTCCTCAAATGTAAATTCTCTCACAGAGTCTCTTCTGGGACATAAGCCCCTCTCCTGTGGAGGAGGCCAGGGCTCTGGTTTGTGCTGCAATGCGAGGAGAGAATGAGAACAGAGCCATGACTGATGGCAGGAGTGCTGGGGGGCAGGAGTTGGAGGGTTCGGCACAGACATATTTACCTTTCTAAGTGAGGTACAGATGAGTTTCAGATGTGACACGAGACAGAAGCCACATTAGACGTGACAGCAATCCTAAAGAAAAAAACAATATCAAAAGTTTTTTTTTTTTTTTTTTAAAGCATCAAGAAAAAAACACATTGGTACTATGAATACCGAAATTTACCTAATCAGAATATGAGTTCAAGGATACCAGGGGTCAAAAATCTCTCTCCATCAATATGCTATGCTATAATGCCATATCCAAGCATTCCAGAGGCACACATTTAACTCCTTAAGGGATCTTTAGTTTTAGAGAGGCTATACAGTGATGTGGTTAAGACCACAGTATGGTGCCAGAAAGCTTAGATTCCAATCTTGGTGCCACCTGGAGCCACTTAGAGACCTCATGCAATTGGTTTTCTCTCTCTACCTCAGCTTCCTCTCCTATAAAATGGCAATAATGATTACACCCACATCACAAGACCCTTTTGAGAATTAAATAAGCTAATTTGAGATAAATGCTTGACACTGTCTGGTAAGCAGGGAGTATTCATGTATTTGTATTTATTTTTCAGAGACCCCACGTAAAAATACCTCACAGCTTCAAGCAGAAATTACAAGATAATCATGGCTGGGCACAGTGGCTCACGCCTGTAATCCCAGCATTTTGAGAGGCCAAGGCAGGAGGATTGCTTGAGGGCAGAAGTTTGAGACCAGCCTGGGCCACATAACAGGACTCAGTCTCTACCAAAAAAATTTTTTAAAGATAATCAGAACCTTTTTAAGAGTGTCAACTAACCTTTTTAAGAGTGTCAACTAAGAAGAACACTATTCCTTTGGGTAAGGGAAACAAGAACCTCGGCAGGGATGAGGGTGAAGAGGGGGAGGGAAGTAAACGCCACTAAAAGACAAAATATGGGGGAAAAAAACACCCCACTTTGGCTTGACTTCAATTTTTTAAAAAAGTCAAGACCACTATTATCAGCAGAGGCCTGGAGACAAGAATTTGCTGTGCAGACCCAATCATTCACCTTGAGATAAGGAAAAGGACAGAAACTGGACAGCAAATGATGAGAGGGCAGCAGCGAAATGTTTACAGACTGAAAAGAGATGGAAATATAGCTTTCAGTGAAAATAATGAAGACAGGAAATAGATCAATAACTTAAACCCATCAACCCTCACCTCCACAGATATAAATTCATTACTGATTAGCAGTGTAATCCAATTGGATGAATACTTGAGCACCAACCCTAAGTAACCTCCTTCTCTGAGTAGCCCACATTTATGCCTTGAACAAAAAGGCTGCTGTTGTATGTGTTTTTAAAATAACAAAACGATATGAATTTGAATCTTACTAATGCAAAAGGCATAAACTTTTAGGTATAAGCTGAGTTGGGGTTTTTCCTCCTGAATTGAGGTTTTTCTTTCAGAAAAATATCTCACTAAAGGAGACAATATGTAATGTTGCAAAGTAAACATTTAAACTACTTAAAATGTACTAAGTATTTTAACAACCTCATTAATATACAAATGATTAATTACAAATGATTAGGTATCTAATTATTACAGATGATCTTTATAATAGTCATATCTGATCTTATACAACTGACACATTAATTTTAAATAGTTCTGTATTTCAGAATAGCTTTCTTGCAACTAAATCTAGTGGTAAGGAGGATATCTTGTTTTCAACGGCTAGATACATGTTTATTAGGGCTGCTTTATTTGGTCAGTCTGGGTGGACGGAAAACTGTCTAAGAGGGAAATATCTGGTATTTTTCTACTAGGAAGTTAGCTTACATAGATTAACACACATGTAAACAAACAGACATAACATATGTCCATTCCCAAACTTATTTTGAGGGTTTGACTCTTAAGTTACTTGAAATTATTCTTCTGGGATATTACAGCAGTCTTCAGTCTAAAGAAAAAGGCTCTTTTCTGAAGAATCACATAGTTGAAGTTATCTGATTCTACAAGCAGAGCAAGAACAAAATTTTTAACTGCAGTTACTTCCCTGGGCTGTCTGTAGTTCTTTTTTTTATTAATGTAGACAAAGATATGCCTCACTGCTGCAAGCTGAAACATCAAATGGAAAAGATGCAGTTTGATTTCCTACATTCCCTCCACTCTCTGCCTCTCCCTACTTCGGTATAAGTCACACAAAATTACTTCCAGAAACTAGGAGGATTGAGCAGCCAAGTTATGAAGCCTAAAGTGCTATGCTTAATGCTTTTTTTTTTTTTTTAATCTTCAAGTTAATACTTATCAGGGTGACAGTCTACCAATGATCAAAGTCATGGTAATTTTTCTGTTTCATGAGAAATCTAAAATCTCAGAATCACAACCCGCTGACTCGATCTTATTTGTAACAACCCACATAAGTGCCTCTTCCTGTAGGAGATTCCTCCTGCAATTCACAAATGTGAATTTCACCTCTACTATTAATCAAAACAGAAGTGCAAATAAGTTTCTTTAAAAATAATCTTGGTAGTGAACATAAAACAAAAATAACATGGAGAGTAAAGTATTAGCCCGTTCCTGTACTTGTCTGCTTACTTACTCCCTCCTACAACACTTTCTAAAAATTTCCATTTGATTTTAAGACGTTATTTTCCCAAAAAGTGTTGACAATAATTTCCCACTTCAAGCTCTGGCTTTAAAAAGAAATAGGTTATAAGTTGAGAATAGCTAAAAAAAATTGGGTTCGTCCTAGGGTTCTGTGACATCAGACTAGTCAGTGCTTTAGAATCAAAATTTCCCTTAGACTTTTCACTAAGAAGCAAAGCTGTTTGTTTGCTTTATCTGATAAGGAATTCAAAACATGCAGTGGTAGTAAATCTGGTTAAAGAAATTGTCAAGGGAGGTTTTCAGTTTTGCCATTATTTAACATTACATCATAGAATTAAATCATGTAAAATGGCAGCCTTATCCATCTCAATCACTAAATTTGGTCAAGTGAAAGTCTACAAAATTCTAAATGAAAAGCTTTTTCATCTTCTTAATGGAAATATCTAAACATTACATTGAGGTTTATTTTTAGGAAAGAATAACAGAGAAGAGAGCTTGGATCTGAAAAAGAAAAATGCCACACACTGGTGATGCTTCCTTCTAGAGGCTGTGAACTGCCTGACAAACTTGCTAAAGCAAAAAAGGGCATAATAGTTCTCCACAGAGGAAGAATTTTAAAAAGCAGTAGCAACAATCAGGTAACAACAGACCAATCAGGTCTTCCCAAAATTTAGTATTTGCAGTTGAAACTGGGATAAATAATTACTTTCTAAGGAATGTAGAGAGAGCCAGCAATCCCCATTCATTCAGCCCGCATTTACTGAGCCAAGAGCTCTGCTAGGCTTGAGATATAAAAATGAATACAACACAGCTGCTTTACTTCCAGCTAAAAGAATACACCTAAATAAAGAGCTACAGGGCCATGTGTTAAGTGCTATAATAGAGGTGTACACAAAGGGCTGGGGGCCAAAGGAAGAAGCCATAAATTCTTCCTGGGAAATCAAGCAAGTGAGGGGAGATGTGAAAGAAGGTATCTCAGAGATGTTTCCTTGTGATAAACTCAAGACTTTTTCTTTAGTGTGTACTATAAAGGTGGTAATTTTAAGACTTACCAACTATTGCAATGCCAGGCACTAATCTTGGTCTACAAGCCAGTTTGTGTTTGATACACACTTCCAGTTACAATATCCCAGGAATATAAATATTTTAAAATAAATATATTATTGTAATATTCCCATGCAATGCACACAATCCAGAATGGCATGAATCACTGGCTTGAGTGGAACATAGCTTCCAAGTTCAAAGATGTTTTAAAATATAATGAATGAAAGATGAATTTTAGAGAGTTTCCATATAATATCAATAATGCTTACTGTATCACTGTTTTCTCTCAAGGCAAAAATAAAAGAATCACCTGATTATATCATGGTTAATATTTGTTTTTCTCTACTTCTGTGTTTAAAAAAAGAGGGAGGGTAGAGAATCAACTTCTACTTAACATTATTTATTATGCAGACCATATTCCTACTTATAACATAGTTGTGACAAAACCTCCATTGTTCATTACACACTAGCCCCAAACTTGAGTAATTCTAATGTAAGCATGAGAAACTCCCGTCTCCTTTGGGGTGAATTTCCCAATTCCTCTGTGTTAAATTGAGGTCTAATTTTCCCTGTGCCTAGTTTTCACAAGAAGGTCCATTCCACCCCATGTGCTCCTTTTCAGCTGTCAATAAACAGAGGCAGTGAATTCCCCACGGCTTCACAAAGCTAGTTAGGCAGAGCCATTCATTCCTTCAGGAAAACAGGGCATTGATTTCAGCGAGTTCCCAGGGAGCAGCTGCAACAAAGAGATCAAAGGCCCACCTCTCTTTCCCTCCATTGCTTTCATTAGGCCCAGCCCAGACAAACAGCGACAGGTTTCCTTGAGACAAGGAGAGGGCCCAGCAGACCACCTCATGGTTCAATTCAAATTCATCCGTTTCCTACATTCCAGTGACAGTCCAGAATGCTAACCATGACAAACCAGCACAATCACCCGGCATAATATACTGCTCGCTAGTTCATCCAAGGTCAGAGGGAGAAAACAAGCACGGGGGGAAGTCCTCTGCTTCTAGGGCCTGCTGAGCTTCAATGGCCCCCTGACATTCCATAAATAAACTTCTCCCTCTCACTCTCCCTTTCTTCCTCCATCCTACAACCCTACAAGCGACGGTCTCACTGAATAATCTGCAACTTCTTTCATGTCACCATATCCAAACTATATGGAAACTTTATTCTCAGTTGAATAGTTCGTTCTAATAGTCAGAGGAAGATGGCTATACATGCAGCCTCTATTAGTTCACTGCTGTGCTAAAGCCAGTCTGCTACACCTAGTAAGCTACTACAATGTGATGAATTCAGAGCTGCAGTTTCTAGGGTTACCTTAGTAAGGGTTGATCTCCAGAGCTGCAGTTTCTAGGATTACCCAAGGGGTGATCTCCAGGGAAGGCAACACAACTTAAAGATGGAGTTAGTTTGCATAAATTCTGTTTGTACAACAAAAGTGTGAACAGAGATATAACAGTTTTTTTTTTTTTTA